CTCTAGGGGATGTTTTGGAAATCTGTGTAGGAGGAGGCTTAGTTGTCACAATATTTGGGTAGCACTGTTGGCATCGGATACTTTTTGTCAACTTTTGAATGTCCCATCATATATTTAAGGAAAACAAATAAACTGAACACCCTATTTATGATTATCTGAGCCTAGAACCTAACTAATTTTACCTATAAACCCAAAGGATCTTTTGCATGGTTTTAATATACATTGAATTCCATGAATGCAATTACGATGTTAAAAAGAGGAAGATCCCATTTTGTTTTGCTTGCTTTACTAAGATTTGTTTGCCATTTCAGAAAATCTTGTCACCAATTTGGAATATTTTCCTTTCCAATGAGACATCTTTATCAGCCTTCATTTGTGGCTGTCACTCTCATATGTGCCTATACATGGAAGGGCAGGCGTACATCTACCTCACAGTGTCTTCTCTTAGCTTGTCCCTGTATCATATTATTATTAATTACTTTCCTTTTAGTTCTACTTTATATTTTAGTTAGAGCATTGTATTGATTTTTTAAAAATTATATTGTAGGGAAATAATATTAACTATAAGTTGCATTTTAGGATGGTTAAGGAGGTGTTACAAAATATTCATTACAAAGAAGTTAGCATGAGGTCTAATAGGGTCAAGAATTCTTCTGTTAGAAGGAAATGAAGCCTTGCTTTTCAGCTGGATCCAGAGGGATCTTGGACCTCAACTCTGAATTTAGTATAAGAACTTAAAATTCAAAGTGTAAAGTGTTGCAAGTATTTTCCAAACAATATCTGCTCAGAAGTACAAAGTTTCAAAGTAAATGGAATATTATAATATGTGCAACAATTTATGTAATTACATGTGCATTATATTGTATGCATTGTATATATCTATTCACCTATAGCTTTATCTAGCCATATAGCTCTATATATCATATCTATCTGTCTGTCGATATTCAAGGCCATTGCTTGCAGTTGTTGGAATATGAGCTAAGGTGTAACACTTTCTCCTCTTGTAACTGTTCGAAACAAGCGTTAACTCCTGATTCCAACATTTCCTTCTAACCCAAAGAGAAAGACATACTTTAAAGAAATTTTCAGCTGAGTTAGCACAATGCAGGACTTCATCATGAAAACATCGTTGTCATGCTGGTTGTTCTTCAACCAGGCCCTCCCTTCCCAGCCAGGCCCTTAAAAGGGAGATCCACCTAGCAGTGCCAGGCTTTCTTGGAAGGCTTCCTTTCCCCTCAACTGGTGGAGGCCTGATCTTGTTTTGTAGCAGTTGCCATAGGAGCAGCCCCTGTTGCAAGGGTGACTCCATCACAAAAACAAATACGTGCAAAGAGCTGAGAAGCAGATTTCAGCCTTCAGTGCTTCAAACCCCGAGGAATGAAAACAATCTGTGCAATTTAAATAGAATAAATCTCAATGCCCCCAAGGGAAGTGGGAGTTTATTTTTAGACTGCAAGCACAGCCACCCAGGCTTTAGGAATGATAGACTGGATGTCCAAAGCTGAGTGGAAGTGCGTCTGTGGCTTTGCGGGTTTGAGGCCTTAGCTGGGCCAGGGGAGGTGGGGAAACAAACCAGCCCCACACCAGGCTTCCTTTCCAGCCACCTTACCTGCCTACTCCTGCACCATGTTAGCTACAGCTGCCCCGCCGATCTCAGAGAGGGGCTCAGAGCAGACACTCTGGCTCAGCATCTTCTCCATCCCTGGTGCCAAGGTGTGGCGCGCATGACCAGGTGGAGACATGAGGGGCTGGGCAAGCAGGTGGAGCCGGCACAGTGGGATGTCCCCAAACCGAGGCACAGCTGCAGTGATCACCAACCCAATAAAAGAGGTACATGCCAGCACAGAGCTGCCCCTGGTGCCCCACACCCTGCTGGGAACCAGAGGGATCTTGGTGGTGGAGGGTCCCTGAGACGAGCTCTTGCCAAGGCCAGGTCATTGGACGAGGGTGCTCCAGGGCCCCAGACAGCTGTGCAAACTAGATAGAGAAGAGCTTTGGGTGCCTTATCTTATAAAACATGGTTAGAGCATCAGAAGTCCTGGCTTGGTTTTGAAATGCTAGTTTTCAATTATATTATGTTATTATTGGACTTTCATTATTACATATAAATATTAAAAGCCAGTATTAAGTTATTTAAAATTAATAGACTTTTTTTAAAGGGCAGCTTCAGTTTTATAGTAAAACTGAGCAGTAAGTCCAGAGAATTCCATGTGCCCCTTCTCCCTTCCCCACAGTTTCCCCATTACTAACAGCTTGTGTTAGTGTAGTGCATTTGTTACAATTGATCAGTCAGTATAGACACAGTATTATTCACTGAGGGAAGCTTGGATACAGAGACAGATGCACAGAGAAGGCAGCCACATGACAGGTGGAATCTGGAGTGAGGCAGCTACTTGCCAAGGACTGCCAGCAGCTCCATAAGCTGGGAGAGAGGCATGGAACAGATTCTCCCTCAGAGCCCCTAGAAGGAACCAACTCTGCCAAGACCTTGATTTTCTGAACTGTGGGAGAATATATTTCTGTTGTTCTAAGCCCCCCGTTTTGTAGTAATTTCTCATGGCAGCTCAAGGATACTGACACAAGACCCATGGGAGAAGATTTTCTCAGAACAAGTTTCTAAGCAAAGCTTTGCTTTGGTTTGCTGTTATCTTATGAACAATGTGAGCTTAATAACTAATCATGTTTTCTTTTCTGCTTGGGCCACCAGAAAGTGCTGCATAGACTTTGTGACCCAACTATAGGACATTATAGAATAAATTTGTGTGTGTTCATCTCTTTTCTCTTCCTCTCATTTTAAAATCTCAATATTTTCCTGTATTATTATATTGATTTATTTTTGTTTGCTGCTATGAGCTCTTTTTTAAAATTATTTTGGGTTGAGGAGAGGAAAAAACGTAGTAACTGGATAAACCTGTCTTTCTCTTTCTTCCCCAGAGAAAAGCGCTGAAATATTATCAGCCCAGGTTATTAGCTCTGAAAGAGCCAGATTACCCTTTAAACTGAAGTGACCTTCTCATTTCAGAGGTCAGAATTCAACCTTTTCATTTCAGACCTGAGAAAATGGCAGCCTAAGGTTATATGATTAGATCCTAGTTGATGTCACCATCTGTGTCCTTGATTATTCAGAACACTATTAGTTGTTTGGGTAGGGAAGCAGCTATAGCTGGAATTTCATACAGTGTTACAGACTAACAAGGCCAATTGAAAGTATTTATGTTGTTAATCATTAATAGTAAATATTGTATCATATAATAAACATTATTTCAACACTCATTTATGATAAAAGCTCTCACCAAAGTGGGTATAGAGGGAACATATCTCAACATAATAAAAGCTATATATGACAAACCTACAGCCAGCATAGTACTCAGCGGTGAAAAACTCAAAAGCTTCCCACTAAAATCTGGGACAAGACAAGGCTGCCCACTATCACCACTGCTATTCAACCTAGTCTTGGAAGTCCTAGCCACAGCAATCAGGCAAGAGAGAGAAATAAAAGGGGTCCAAATTGGGAAAGAAGAGGTTAAAGTGTCACTATATGCTGATGACACGTTACTATATATAGAAAACCCTAAAAGGTCCACACAAAAACTACTAGAGCTGATCGAAGAATTCAGCAAGGTAGCAGTTTACAAGATTAACATTCAAAAATCAGTGGCATTTCTTTACACTAACAATGAAACAACAGAAAAAGAAAGTAAAGAAACAATCCCCTTTAAAATAG